GTCCTCCTCCTCCTCCTCCTCAACCCCTCCCTGCTTCATCTCCTCCCCCTTCCCCTCTTCCTTCTTCCTTTCCTATAAAATTCCTACCTCTCCCCCCTACACACTGACTCTCTCTCTCTCTCTGCGCCTTCCTCCTCCTCCTCCTCCTCCTCCTCCTCCTCCTCCTCCTCCTCCCTCTCTCACTTGTTTTATCAGATCTTTCTGCTCAGCTCAGCTCCTACTTGCTGCGACTGACAGCACGAGGAGGCACGAACTTGCAGAGGAGGCGAGGAGGGAGAGGAAACGATCAGCACGGGGAGAACAACGAGAGGAACGATGACAGGGAGGAGCAGGAGGAGCGAAGAAGCAAGATCATGAGCAAGGAGCAGGAGCAGGAAGATCAGGAGCACGAGCACGAGCACGAGCACGAGCACGAGCACGAGCACGAGCACGAGCACGAGATCTGGGGGCTGACGAGGCTGGCGGTCGAAGTCTGCACAAGGAGTGCGAGGATGCTGCGGGGGGAGGATGCAGACAAGCTCTGGTTCAGACTCCTTGACCTCCTCCTCTCACACCTTCTTGAGTCGCTTGAGACGATGCAGGAGCAGGGAGGATCGGTGCAGACATCGAAAATCTCCTCCTCCTCTCCTCGTTCCCCTCCTCCTCCTCCTCCTCCTCCTCCTCCCGTTCCCTCATCTCCTTCCTCCCATCCCTCAATCTCTTACTTCCTCTCTCCTACCGCTCCCCCAACCCCAGGGGTCAGGACATGGCTGAATCTACTCGACGCGCTAATCGAAGAAGTTCTCCGCAACATGCTGGGCCTAGTGAGCCTCGAGGGCCTCCTAGCCCGACTGGTCAAGGCGCATCCCCAGGAGAAGCTGAGCTGCCTGCGCCACGTCATCATGGCCATGGTCGAGACTTTGCGCTTTCAGAAGGACCAGCAGCTGCTGGCAAGCAGGATCATGCTCCGAGCTTCTGCCCAGCACGCCAGGAAGTTTGCGGAGGAGGCAAAGAGGCCCTGCAGGGCTGACATGCCGGGCAACTTGCTCCCTGCTCCTCCTCGCGCACGCGGGGCTGGGGAGGGAGAGGAGAGGACGGGAGCGCTCCTCTTCTGGACCAGAGAAGTGCATGCGGTGAAAGCAGGCGATGTGAGGGGAGCAGGGGCAGGGAAAGCGGCTGGGGGGCAAGCAGGAGGAGGAGGAGGAGGAGGAGGAGGAGGAGGAGGAGGAGGAGGAGGAGGAGGAGGAGGAGGAGGAGGAGGAGGAGGAGGAGGCTGACGGAGTTGATTGGAGTGGTTCCTGCTGTTCGACAGTCTGTGGAGGAAGTGGGAGGCAGAGCTGTAGCGCAAGTTGAATAAAAATCGATTAGTTTAACAAGGAGATACGATATCTTCGTGGAGAGGAGAGGAGAGGAGCGAAAACATATTCATCCGCAAAAGTTTTGCAGATGTTCAAAACCTCCAGTCCTCGTCTGCCTCGTCGATCGCCCACTTGAACTTTGTGATGAGAGATTTGTTGAAGACCTGTGTTTAGATATCAACTTTTTCGCCTCGCATCATCATCTCCTTTGTCAGCATCTCAATCTTCTCCTCCTGCTCCTGCTCCTGCTCCTGCTCCTGCTCCTGCTCCTCCTTTCCCTCAACTGCTTCTTATCTTCACCATCTGGATCTCTGGTTCTATTCTCTTGCTCCCTTTCCTTTCGCCAACCCTCTCCACACTTCCCTCCACCTCCTCCGTCACCTTGTTGAGAGGAAAATTTCCAAATCGTTTGCACCAGGCGACAGTGATCCTTGGATCGAGGTAGTTCACCTGCCGTATGTGAGGAAAAGAAAAAGTTGAACAGAGGAGGATGTGCAAGAAAGAAGAGGGAACTGGGAAGGGGGGGAGGCGGGGGGAGGAGGAAAGGGAAAGAGGAGGAGAGTAGAGGGAAAGAGGAGGAGAGTAGAGGGAAAGAGGAGGAGAGTAGAGGGAAAGAGGAGGAGAGTAGAGGGAAAGAGGAGGAGAGTAGAGGGAAAGAGAGAACAGGGGTAGGAGAATCATAGAGAGCAGGGAACCTTAGAAGTGCTGAGAGCGACGCCAGCAAGCTTGAGTTTGATCTGTTTCTGCGTTTCTTGCTAGAGAACGAAACGAAGTAAGAGAGAGAAACGAAAGGAACGAGAGTGGCGGGTAGAACAAAAGAAAGTGAGAGTTGAGAGTGGGATTACCGAGTGAGAGTGAGAGTGAGAGTGAGAGTGAGAGTGAGAGTGAGAGTGAGAGTGAGAGTGAGAAGGGATGTAAGGGGGGAAATGCAAAGTAAGGTTGACAACAAGCAGCAGCAGGCAAGAGGCAGCGAGGAGAAGGATGCGAGGAGAAGGAAAGACGTATTGTGATTTCATCAGGAAGAAAACATGAAGAATACCTTTGAGATTCTTTCTTCAAGATTTGCAATCTTCTTTTTCATCTGCTCGTCAACGTCATGAAACATTTTCGAGATCTCACGACAACTTCACCTGCTCTTTGTTGTCTGCAGACTTCTTCTTCTTCTTCAAGTCAGCCAACTCTTCATGCAAGCCTGTGACCCACGACCAAATTACAAGTTGCCGTCACATCTCCCAACACAAATCGCCATCTCCTACCTTTAATCTTCTCGTCCATCTTCTCTACTTGAGAGTCGAAGGTCTTACTAACAGCGCGCGAGTGATTACACAAGATTGCAACTTGATAGTTCGCATCGTTGTAGAACTTGAGCTGGGTCGCGTCGTTGCGCAGGAAGCTCGACTTTTCCGGGTGATCCTCCAACTTGTAGAGCTCCTGGTCCAAAGTGAACGACGCGTTGTAAGTACGGAAGACTTTTGCTGTCAGGCCAGGCATCAGGTCCTTGAGGTAGGTATTCAAACTCGAGGTGTTGAGCTGGTCAAAGACATCGTCAGACGGCTTCTTGCTGTTGCTCGTCAACGATCGCATGTTCTCGACAACTCTCCTGAAATTCTTCTCCTCTCCCTCTCGCACAAACGACACGCAAGGATTTTCCTCCCCCTCCTTCGCTTTCTCCTCGTCCTTAGGCCTCAACTTAACAAGGTTCTTGTACTCGATCGAGTCTTTGCCCAGGAAGTTGAAGTAAATCGTCGGGCCCTCTTCGTCCGTACCCAATGTGATATGTTCCACTCGGAGACTGCAGCAACCCACGGTATCGGCCTCTTCGTTCGTATCCTTCTCGTTACCTGCACGAATGGCCAAGTTGTCGATCAACCATAGAGCGGTATTCTGCTGCATCTCAAGACCCGAAGACTTCAATCCTTGTGTGATCCTCTGCCTTATCCTCGCCACGTGCTTCTTCAGCTCTCTTGCTTTCTCAAACTTCTCACGGTCAGACTGGCCTTTGAGCGAGGAGCCAGCAGAAAGGAACACGTACTTGAACTCTCCGTTGATCGTGTCCTTGTAGAACGCCAGCCACGTCTGCTCGTCCTTATGCACAAGACTCTGCCATGCATGTCCGGGGAGGGAACAGCGGGGAGGACAAGCGTCCTCAGAGCAGTTCATGGTGATATCTTCAGGCTGGATCACACCCTTGACTTGCCCCATCTTCGGATGTTCGCCTCTCCCTCGGAACAGCCCAGCCGGCTCTACCCTGAAGTTTCCGTTCTTCTCCAAGTGAGAATCAAGGACGACTGTCACGTAGGGTGCTTCAGTCTTCTCCTTCGCTTGCTTGATCTTCAGCTTTTCCTCCTTTGTCAACGCCTTTTTCTTCTCCCTCTCAGCGTCCAAGTGATCGACTATGGGCTGGAAGTCACAATTTTCCAAATCTTTGATCGCGTGATTTTTTCCCAACTTCTCGCTGAATTCCTTCCAAAAATTCTTCTTGAAAACATCCTTGCCAGCATAGTCTGTCCTGCTCATGGCAGCATACATAGTTGCAATAGCTTCCTGCAAAAGGAAACTTTGAATTCTTCCCATAATTTATCGTGCGATTTACCTGCTCTGGGGTGAGCGAAATGATTTGACCATCGTACTTCATTTTGACTCCGTGGGGTTCATAGTTGGGAGGAAAAATGACACTGTGCATTAGAAATCAAAATATTCGACAGATATCTCAGTTCTACGTACCCATTGTGCTCCAAGAAACGCCATTTCTTTCCCTGAGCAAGGGGCTGCTCATCTTTCCACCTAAAGAACGTAGAGAAAGGCAACAAACAAGGTTAGCGATCTTGCGTATGAGAAACACATGAAGTCCAACCACTCATAGACTGGTTCAACTTTCACTTCCTGTGTAACGGTCAGCTCTGAGCCATCGAAACTCGCATGTTTGACCTTCTTGGGCTTTTTTGGTTGTCCCTTGCCATCAGTTTTTGCTGATGGTTGGTCAGGGATTTTGGATTGCTACTTGTCAAGATCTGTTTCACCTGACTTGGAGCTTGACTTTGACGACTGATATTGAAGATCATTTCAGTGCAACAGAACAACGTAGAAAATCGCATTCAAACCTTCTCTTTCTTGGCGGGAGCTTTCTTCTTGCGTGTATCTGAATGATTAGAGTGAGTATCGTTTGCAGATCAAGTTGTATCCCCAAGTCACTTTTACCGAAGTCTTCTTCGTCATCGTCGTCATCGTCGTCATCGTCGTCACCTCTCTAGTGATCGAACCATGTCATCGCAGACATCAACAACAAAAACTGCAGCACACCTTTCGCTTCGTTTTCTTCTTCTTCTTGGATTCCTTCGCTGCTTGAATGGGACAAAGGCGTTAGACCCTTCAACATCTCACAGGTACGCACACACCCGTCGGAGCGTTCTCCTCCTTCACCTAAAGAATAATCTTGTCAATATTCAGCCCCTGCAGGTTGCAAGGATAAGACCTGGGACTGGACATTCTCCTTCTTGGACGACTTTGCTTTCTTTAGAGGGACATCATCGTCGTCCTCCTCAGGCTTGGGTTCCTTTTTGGAACTCTTCAAAGGTTTGTCGTCGTCCGATTCGGACATGGTCAACCTAGTACGAACAGATGTAAGAATATTATCAGGACAGCGTGAAAACCGTAAGCGCCGGATCGCAAGTGAAAGTCGTCTCAAGATCCTCGTGCTCGATTTATGATCACATATGAAGATATCATTTTATGATCAAATATCAAGATATCAAAAAAACGTGCTCGATTTATGATCACATATGAAGATATCATTTTATGATCAAATATCAAGATATCAAAAATGATATCTTCTGTTCAATCATCAATAAACACAAGTGGGAAGGGAATACCATACAAAAGAAACTCACTCCTCGGTTTCGCTAACTGTTCCTCTCAGGATTCAACTGTCTTTATACTTTCCAACCAGTTCTCATGTTACAACTTTCTTCTTGTATATCTGTCCTCGTCATCAACTCATCGTCGCCATTCTTGTCTTATCTTCGCCATCCCTTACTCCCTAACCTCCTGTCACGTGTTCCCGCCCATGCCTCAAATTCGCGATCTCATCTGCCACCACCACCCCCACCCCACTCTGATAAACTACCCTACCCTTTCCTTTTACGTACCCCATGGAACAAGTGATAGGACCCCTCATTGATAGCTGGATAACCCCTAGTACCTCTGTATGCCCCCCTCAGCTTCTACCCACCCATTATCAAATCCTTTCGGACCCCTACCATATGTCAATCAATCACTCCCACCCTGCTTTTGAGACCACCTCTGAAATCACTGCCAGATAACCCGTTCCATAGACCAGATATTATTATTACAAGTACCCCCTACGCATCAATACCACCCCATCATGACTCACTACCTTAGTACCCTGTACCCTACCCTGAAGTTATATGACCCCGATATCCCAACGGCTTCGAACCTCCAACCCTCACCACGGCAACGCTCCTGGTACCACCACCCCCGGTGATTCTCCGAATCAAGAAGTGCTTTTATAGAATACCCCTACTTCAGAGTCAAACCGCTTCCAACTTACACCGGTACTCTAACACCCCTACCCTGCTCTCTACTCACTTCATTAACCCCACCCCCTTGTCGGTATATAAGGCCAGTGTCCGCGCCGGGCAGCCGGTACACCGGCGTCTGATCGGGGCCCCGGCCCGGCCCGCCCGGCGGCGTCGGCCCGCGGCCCGGCCGGTGATCGGATGTCACTCAGTCACAGTGATCGGACGGGCAAGTGATCACGGTCCGATCGGACGGGCGCCTTGCCCTGGCCCGGCTCCGGACGGTCCTCGAGAGTCATCGGCCCGGGGGCCCCTCAGGACTGTACAGTAAGCCGGGCTAAGGTCCGCCCGGAGACTCTCAGGGCCGGGCGGACCGTCTCAGTGCTCGGCGGGGGGCCGACCGATCGGATCGGATGTGAGGCCCTCATACAGACCAGCCAGTGACCTTACAACAGGAAATTTTCGAACATGTTTCAAATGTGAAGGTAGTATTCGAAAAATAAAGATTGATTCTATTTGAAATATTTGAATTATTAATGGAGGTCTTGAAATATTTCATTCAAGTGCCTGGACTTACCCCTCCACCGGGAAACGGGGAAGATGGAGAAAATGCAGGGGGCAAGGATACGATGCTGAAGAATTTGGCCGAAAATCCGTCGATTTATGCAGCATGACAAGTTCTCCTCATCGACACTGAACTCGAAGTAACTTGATGATCGATCCTAAGACTGTTTGTTCTCCTGCTTCTCTGCTCGATTTTCTTGTTTTCTCTACTTTGTCTCGCTCAAGGTCATAATTTGGTCGGGTTTGTGGGCGATGGAGAGAGAATGTGTATGAGATGTGCTCCTCTCTACCGCTCATCATCATCATCCGGTGTATATGTATGAAGGAAACTGAACGATAACTGTGCATTCAAGCTCTTGGCAAAGGCGATACTTGACCTTTTGGCTTGTTCGCGTTTGATCGACAATCATGGCTGCACAGCGTAGCTGCAAGAACGAGTTTGAAAAGTATGTCTGCAATGCATTCTACAAGATACTTCATGTCGTAGCTGAAGCTCGTCTATCCCATGGTGCCGAGCCAGGTAAACGGTCGACCGACTCTAGCTTCTTGCTAGAAAGCAAAGGCATTCCAGAAATAGACGCCGAGATTCACAGTCATATCAGGAGTGGAGATATGGTTCCTCCGAACCTTCTTGTCTTCACAGTAGCAGTTGACATGAATGCTGATGGGCCAGTTCCTCCTCCCGGCGTGTCTGTGAATAATAAGATGCTACCGCCCAATACAAGAGACGACTACGGGAGTTGCCCGCGATACAAGGTTTTGGAGAGGTGGATACTAAGGTTCGAGAGAGGAGCGAAGTCAGACATCAAGCCTTCGTTTGCTGTCAAGCATCTGCTTCTACTTGTGAAGAGCGTCTACTCCTGTTTGCGGTTGTTGCCGTGCCACAAGACTGTGTTTCAGCTGCAGTACCGCAACGCGTCTTGCGGTTTGAAGTATAGGCTATCAACCTCGCTCTCTTTACAGCAGAATGAGTGCTCGATCGGTCATCAGAACGAAGAGATTCACGAGTACAGGTTAGTGATCCTCACAGACATGCAACTCGATCCTTGCGATGGTTATTCATTCCTCGTCCAGTTTTGGGGAGGTGGAAACGCCATCGGGGCGCGTTCTAGTCAAGGTGCAATATTCGCTCTCACCGGCAGACGAATACCTGGTAGATCAGCACATGCAACTTGTAAGTGGATGAGTTGATGACTGGTTTGCAGGTTGCAGCGACCGAAGTTCCAATTTTGCAAGTTCGAGAGAGGTCTCTTTCTTGCCCGACCGAGCCGACAGATGCAGGTTGTGCATTGGTGTATCATCGCTTCTGTACCTGTCTGGTCAATCAATCTAATCAAACTGTTTAATCAATCTGTTTAATCAATCTGTGTTATCTATCTGTGTTGTCTATCTGAGTTTTTAATCTGTTGAATCGATCTGTCTTGTCAACAACGCTTCGTTCTACTGATCTTTCTCTGCCAGCCGCTTGGTTGGAAAGTGCTGTCGCTGCCGCAATCAAGACTGGCGGCACTGGTCACCCTGGCTTGATGTCTGAACGACGGAAGAATGTCCGGCCACCAGGTGGGATTGGAGGAGGTTCAACAAAACCATCATAATCCTGGTGTTTACAGGAAGTACAAAAGTGCAGAAGAGCGGGAGTTTTCAGTTGGTAAGATAGTTCACCTGTTTCTTGGCATGTATTGACTCCCTTGCTTCTTTTCCCGCAGCTTCGAGCCGAAACCGATCCGACTGTATGCAAGAAGATGGCATTCGAGGGCACACAGCTTGGTCCTCTGACCTCAAGCAATGATGAATCGCTACTTGGGAACTACCCAGAGGTTTTGACATTCTTCTTGGTTCGAACACTATCTCATGGTTGGGCAGGAAAGCGAGCTGGATGACATGAGCTTATTGAAGATCGACCTGGGTCTTGCACGAGATTTTCACAGGCTAGCACACACTCAACACGATTCAGTCAAGACTGAACCTTCAAGCAGATCTCCCAAGCTTGTAGCCTCGCCTCTTCTCCGCGATGTTGGATTCAGCGCTCCGAAATCGAACGCAACGGCCGCCAAGATGACAAGAGAGGAAGGGAAGGAGGAGATTCCAACGCCTCTGCTCCTGACCCCCATGATGCCGAACGCAAAGCCAATGTTCGGAGGTTCTCAAGGAGGTCAGGGGAGATCTCCACGGATGGGTCAAATGGCTGCAGATTCAGACGTCAAAGGTGCCAAGTCTCCGATCAACTCGAACAGGTCTGAACAGTCAAGGCTGTTTGCTAGTTGAGGTTGAACTTGTGTGAAGAAGGTCGCCGTCACTGGATCCTCCTTATGTTCCTCCTTGTACGGCTTCGCCTCCTGTTCGAATACCGTCGGCCCATCCTCTCTCGCACGTGATCTATCCTTCTCTTCACTTGCCCTGTTGCTGACGCTTGTCTGCAAAGAACCGCGGGATAGGCTTGTTCAGCTCGCCGGTCAACAGCCCAGCAGACAAACCTCCCTTCGCTCCTGCAAGCAACTCGCCCTCCTTCTCATCCAACCCGCTGCTGTCCGGCTCCTTCCCAGCATTGTTTTCAGATCTTAAACGGTGATTGCTCACTTGTACTTGTGTTTTGAGACTGGCTGACGGGTGCTCAGAGCAAACTCAGTCAATGGATCTCCTGAGAACTTCGTGGAATCGCAGAGGTGTGACTTGATGTGTGCGTCTGGAATCTTCTTGCTCGATCTGACTTGCGTCCTTCTCCCTTCCGTCAGATGCAAACCAACCGCAGATTCGCATGCCCACGAGGAGATTCAACCTGCTCTCGTTGACGACGAGGTCTCGTCAGCCTCTCTGTCTCTTCCCATGCTCACTTGTGTCTCAGGCGCCTTTCGCGCTCAATGGCACGAGCAGGGAGTACGATTCGCTCACCAATATCCTCCGGAGATGTGAAGATCCCCTTCCACTCAGTGGCGTGTGGGGCAAGAGCGTTGCTCCTCAACGGCCAGACACTGAGACAGACAGTCTGATCTGGATGCCTCCTGCTGACGACGTGACGGTGGTGAGTTGCCGACAAGCCCCTCGGCGTCGCCTCACTCTCTCTCCTTCTTCGTTGCTCGCTTGTTCTCCTGCTCCCCCATCGTTGCTCAATCTTCATCGCACCTCCCATTGCTTCCCCTTCTTGTCCTGTCCTTGCTGTCGCTACATCACCTTCCTCCCCATCCCTTGCTCTTCCTCTTCTTCACCCCACCAGCTCATGTGGAGCTTTACAGGGAGATCTGTTCGCCGACATGTCGATGATGCAAGATCTCATGGAGCTGCATCTGCACCAGCCCAGCAGCGCCGCGACCTCCTGACGATGTTGCGGCCAGAGGCAATCCGGCGACCTCTCACGTCATCATCTGCACATATTTCTCTCTTGCCTCGTGTACAGCAGCGTTAAAAGCGAACAAACTGACGCATTCCTGTCTCCATACACACATCACGTCTCTTTCAGCTTGTCAAACGTTGTCTCCGGATGCTCACGGCCGAAGCCCGGGTGATCTTCCTTTCTCACGACCTTGAGGCCGTGCGGGATCGGCTTTCCCGCATGAAAAGCTTCAACAGCCTCTTCGATTCGTATAAGCTCTGCCCATCATGTCAACTGGATGTCAAACTCGAGAGGTTGCTTGACCTGAGCTGGATAGGAACGAGTCGTCATCTGTTGTATTCATGTTGCCTTCCGCCACAGTCTCATCGCCCCAGTATGTATCATCTTCCCACATCCTATGCAGGGTTCAGAAACGTTCGAATCCTCACACCCTCCCTTCCCTCAACTTGCCTGGCCAAGAGCTCTTGTTCTGTCAGATTGGCTGGGAATTTATGATCAGTCCTGATAGCCAGCTCTGAATCGTTCTGAAATAGTCCGATTTTCTTGGAGAGATTAATTCTCTGAAGGTTGGAATGAGAAGAGAGTCAGGGGCCAAAAATTGTTTGAGAAGCAACGGATGTGACGACAAAGGTTCACATTCCAATGAGACAACAGGGAGAGTCTTACTTTCATATCATATCCCTCGATCGTTTCGAGTTTGGCACCATCGTAAACGACACCGTCTCCTCGAGCCGTAATGAACTCGAACCCGTTCTCCATCAGGTGAAGCTGAAACATGTAGTCAGAGGAGTGAAGGAGATAAGAGGTGCAAAGACAAGGAAAGCGAGGAACAGGAGACAAGACAGGGCAGGGCGAGTTCTCTATCAGGGAAGGCAAAGAATCCAGACCTCTGGGGGAGGGGTGATCTTGCTTGCAAGCATTCCATTGAGGGCAATGACGTGCGACTCTCCCGTATATTTGCAACGCGTGACCCGTAGTTGCCAATGAGCCATTTTGTATGTTTGATTAGCTGGAATGTGCCTTGTGAGATCAGCGTATTTCATCTCAAGCTTTTTCTGATAGTTTGGCTTCAAAAATTTCCTTCAAAGATGGAAAATGAGAAGGAGATTCGAATTTTGTCATTGTATACTCTCTTACCAAGCATCTACAGCCAGATACGGGGCAAGAAAAGTTCCATTCCGTCCTTCACTTTCGTTCTCAGTGAAAAACATATCTCTGTCTCAGGTTTCAACGCACCAATACTCTGCAATTCGCCGTTGAAGAAGCAGATATGAACGTCGCTCAATGATCGCGTGACATCTGCCATGCAAATATTAGTCGTTCGACCGTCGGCGTCAACGTCTTTGACTTGGCTGAGGGAAAGAAAAGAAAAACGATCCTGCAGATTCCTCACCCAACTGAATCACCTAAACAGACCAACTTGTAAGGCAAGAGAATAAACACTGTTCACTCGCGTTACCATTCCGGAAGTTTTATGAATCATGGTAATGAACGTTGAATTACAAAATGGCACGATGTTGATTCCCTCGATAATGATCCAATTCTCCACACACGCCTTGTTTGGTCCACTGCATCGTGATCACTGGTGGTTGAAACATTACACCATGGGAGAAGCATACCATGATTCAAAACAAAGCTTCTTCTTGTTGCTATCCTGCCAGCAAAGCAAGTCCATTCAATTCAACGAATCGAAACATGGATAGCAGCAAAGCAGACTGACAAAGTTTCGCATTAATTCCTTCATCTTCTTCATGGTCTTACGATATTTCTTCGTTTCTCGCCTTTCTATTTCCTCTGTCTGCAAGACAAACATCATCTATCACATCTCCCTTACTCCTTTCACTGACTGGAGTGTAAAAGTTCCCAAAGATCTTCGAGAACGTTTCGTCTACAACTTGACGGTCGTCCTCCCCCATCGGAGAAGAAGAGCGGGCGACAGTGCTTGCACGCCATTCCTTCTCAATCTCTTCTAGGATGAAGTCAAGAGATGACTTCATCTTCTCTTGCTGCAAGGTTGATGTCAGGAGTGACTTCTCGCACCACGTTGATCAAATCACAGGAGCTAACCATCTTTAGTTTCTCTTGTTGTATGACTTGTGCTTCTTGTATCTCCTTCTTCAGCTTCTGCAGGCTCTCGAGAAGAGTGCGAGACCTGAATCCGATTCCATTATCCTCTTCGTCTTGTTCTTCTTCGTCTCCTTCGTCTCCTTCATCTTCTCCTCCCCGTAGCCTCAACATCTCCCTCCCTGCCATGCAAACCGAAAGGTCTCCTGCCATGTTCACCCCACATGTTTTTGGCCTCGGGCCGCTCATATTCAAACAGCGATCATCGGAATCCAACAATATCCTGTAGACAGACGACAAGATTAACTTGCTCCAGAACTCTCCACGACAAGAACTGATGGATACACCAGCAGAGGCAAGTGAGAGGAGGGAGAGGAGGGAGGAAGGAGATGCCAAAGAGAGAGAGACGGACAAGAGAGGAAGGGAAGACGGACAGCATGGAAGCAAAATTGCCGCGAAGCTCAGCATGGCAAGCATGCAGGCAACGGGCGGCATGGCGGGCTGGGGTGAGAAGAACAGGAGGGGATGAGGCAGGGATGAGGGGGGGAGGAATGTGAATGAGGGGGATGATTGTGGACGGGTCCACAAATAGAGGTGGCTCCTCCGACATGCTCCATGTTGGAACATGGCGATGAAGCAGCTGCTGCTATATGGCTTCTTCTTCTTCTTCTTCTTCTTCCTCCTCCTCCTCCTTATCATCACCACCACCACCACCACCAACACCAACACCACCAACAACAACAACAGCTTTGTAATCTTCATGTTGGTCTCAATCATCATCTCCATCATCACCACCATCATCATCACCAGCAGCAGCAGCGGCAGCGGCAGCGGCAGCACCTCCACCTACATCTCCATCTCCATCTCCATCTCTAACTCCTTCATGGAGATCTCAATCATTTTCTCCATCAGCATCAACAGCATCTTTGTTATCATCTCGAATATTCGCATATCTCCAACATCTCAGTACTCGTGCCCTCTTCTTGTTCCCTCTTTTCCTCTCTCTCTCTCTCTCTCTCTCCCCCCCGCACTTGCACTTCTTTTTCACTCTCCTCTTATTCACGCTCACTTCCCCTGCCGCACTCAACCAGTCATTTGCGATCAATCTTTGTAGTCTTTCTACAAAACGAGCAAAACATTCATGCCTATCAAACGATCTTTTCTCGCATGTCACTAAAAAACTTTCTTGCAGCATGTTCCAACTTCTTCTCACTCGTTCGGTCAAGCAAGCCGACAAGGAATTCAATCACTTCCATGCTGTCATGGCGAAGCCCACGAAGTAAGTGTTTCCTCTTCTGCTATTCCCTTTGCAGCTTGCTTATCCGTGGTTCTCCCACCTCATCTTCTCCTCCTCTTCTTCCTCCCTTCGCTTCCGTTCCCCGTATTCTCTTTTCCTTTCTCCTCCGTTCCAACCACACTATTTCGCTCTCCTCTCCTCTCCTCTCCTCTCCTCTCCACTCTCCCCCTCCTTTCTACTCCCTCTCCTCTCTACTCCTCTCCTCTTCTCAACTTTTCTGGTCCATAACCACTCCTCTCCTCATTTCCTTGATTTCCGAATGTTCTCATCATGTGCGAAGGTACAACATGTTCTTCTAATCTCTTAAGCTCGCCATGTACATTCGGTTTGACACTTTGCAATAAAGTTGTCGTGGATACAGTTTTCTCATGTATGCAACCTGTTCCTTCTGCTATCTTGTTCAATTTCTTGTTCTCAATACCTACATGTTACTACATACACCCACATTACAATCAAACACCTCTCAACAGACAGCGCAGGTCCTGCTTGCTCGGCTGTTTGAAGTGGACTTCTCAACTGACTTCTTCCTCCTCCTCCCCTCTTGGCATGCAACAGCGGTCATCTGATCTTCTACGGAGGACGGGGTAGTCGGTAGCGACTGATCCTGGCCCGTGACCTTGCTGGAACTAGACTGCAGAAAGGAAAACTGCTCTTCCCTCCCTTGTTCCTCCACCGCTGACGACCCAGGAGTGATGGAAGGAGGCCGAGGAGGAGGAGAGGAGGAGGAATTCTGTTCCGCTGCTGCTGCCCGCGTCGGTGCCTTGCGAAAGAAGTGGGAGGATGCGTCCGTGCTGTCTGAAGGGACTTGAACTTCTCGGACGCCAGCAGGAGCGTCTAGGAGCATGACGTTCCCGAGCCCAGTCTGGAACCGAAAGTTCTTTCCTGCTCCCCTTCCCCTGTCCTCCTCCTCCTCCTCCTCCTCTCTCTTCCACCTCATCTGCTCTGCTCTGATAGTGTGTCTCCTCTCGAGGGCATGCAGTAGTCCGCTTCCTCCGACCTCTTCCGTGTGCGCCGTCCGGGTCTCGTTCCTCTTGAGCTGACTGGAGCTCATGATGGTGGAGTGAATCGTCTCAAGGCTCGTCCCGTCCTCCCCGCTGCTGGGGGAGGAATATTCTCCTCCTCCTCCTC